TTCTCCTTCCTTCCTTTCTTCCCTTCCTTCCTTCCTTCCCTTCCTTTCCTTCCTTCCTTCTTTTTCTTTCTTTCTTTGTACTTTTGGAAGATCCTCATTCTCTTATTTATCCTGGCTAGAAATGAGGAGTGTGGATACTTTTCAAGATAAAGCCTCCTATCTTCCTCACTTTGTGGGATAAACCCTCAGAGAGAAATCTCTTTAATAAAGTTTGGTCCCTGTTGGAATACAAATACTCTACAATGGGGGCAATACTGACTTGTCAATAGGAGAACAGGTCCTCCTCTAAAGATCTCTCTCCCATGTCACTCTGAATCTCAGTTACAGTCCTTACTACAATACACAATATTTAGTTGAATACTGATTCTCCCACGAGGATTTTCCAGAATGTCATATAAATGAAATAATATAGTATGTAGACTTTTGTGACTGGCTTCTTTCACTGAGCATAATCCTTGAGATTCATTCATGCCATCGCCTCTATCAGATTCCTTTTTCTTTCCAAGAAGTATTCCACATATAAATATACCAAAACATGTTTATACATTAAATTGATCGATTTATAGTTGTGCTTTTTGTGTCCTATGTAAGAAAATTTGCCTAACCCAAGGTCACAGACTTTAGCCTATATTTTATTCTAGAAGTTGCATAGTTTTCACAACTCGGTCTGTGATCTCTTTTCAAGTTAACTTTTCGTATGGCTGTGAGGCATCAGTTGAGATGCATTTTTATTTTGCGTATGAATGTCCAATTGTTCCAGCACCATTGTTCAAAGACTATCCTCACTCCATTGAATTACTTTGGCACCCATATCAGAACTCGATTGACTATATATATGGACCACTGTTTGATTCCCTATTCTATTCCATTGGTTTGTATATCTATTCTTTCACGATACTACACTGTCTCAATGACTGTAGTTTTATAGTGAAGTGTGCAGCCAGGTGGTGAGCCCTCCTACCATGTCCTTCTTCAAACTGTTCTGGTTATTCTAGGTCCTTTGCTCTTCCATTATAAGTTTTAGAAGTAGTTTCTCAATTTCTACAAAAATGTATGCCAACCATTTGATTCGGATTCTGTTGAATCCAGGGAGAACTGACATCGTAACAAATTGAGTCTTCTAATCCATGAGCATGGTACTTTTCTCCATTTATTATTTGAGTCTTTGATTTCTCATCGTTACGTAGTGTTTAGCTTACAAACCTCGCACAAATTTTCTTAGATTTAGCCTTATGTATTTTATATATTTGATGCTACTGTAAATGAGTTTTTTAATTTTCAATTTCTAAAAAAAATTTCAATTTCCAGTTGTTCGTTGCCAGCATACAGACATATGATTTTCATATATTGACCTTATATCTTGGACCCTTCCTAAACTCGCCTATTCTAGCAGCTCTTTTTGTAGATTCCTTGAGATTTTGTGTAGACATTCATGGCCTCTGTTTTTAAAGATAATTTATGTTTTCCTTTCCAATCTAAATGTCTTTCATTTCCCTTTTCTTGTCTATTACACTGGCTAGGATCAGTTGAACAGGAATGGTAAAATTAGATATCCTTACTTGGGGAAAGCATTAAATCTTTCACCATTATGCATGCAATTAATTGTAGGTTTTTCATAGATGACCATTATGAGGTTGAGGAAGTTCTCTTTTAATCTGTTTGCTTAAAGTTTTTTGTGTTTTCCTTTTTAAATCATGAATGAATGTTTGTCAAATGTTTTCATCCTCATCTATTGATATGATCATATTGTTTTTGCTTTTTAGTTTCTCTATATGGTAAAAATCATTTTCATATGTTAAAGTGACCTCACATTTATGGGTGAAATGCAATATTAAACAACTTTTTATATATAGCTGGATTTGGTTTCATAAGGATTTTTGCATCTATGTTCATGAAGAGTATTGACTGTAGTTCTCCTAACTTAAAATGTCTGTTTAGTTTTGGTATCAATGTTATACTTGCCTCATAAAATGAGTTGGGAAGTGTTCCCACTCTTCCATTTCTGGGAGGGTTCGTGTAGAACTGGTATCATTTCTTCCTTGTAGAATCCACCAGTAAAGTCATCTGGGCCTGGAGCTTTCTTTGTTCGAAGGTTTTAAACTACAAGTTCTATTTCCTTAACAGAACTATTTTTTTTTAACAGAACTATTCAGATTATCAAGCTCTTCCTGTGTGAGCTTTCATAGTTTGAGTCTTTCAAGGAATCTCTCCATCTCCTATAAGTTGTCAAATTTGTTAATCAAATGTTGTTTATTTATTATCCTTTTAATGTAGGTTCTGTACTGATGTCTCTATTTAACTTATCGTATTAGTAATTTGCATCACTTTTCTTTCTTGATCAATCTGTCTAGAGATTTATCAATTTTACTAAATTCCAAAATGTTATCCAAAGTGGCTGTGCTCTCACCAGCAATGTATGAGAGTTCCGGTTACTCCACATTTCCTTCACTTTTGAAATATATTTTCACTGGGTATAGAGTTGTGTTCACATTCATTTTTCCTTCAGAACTTTAAAACTGTCACTCCATGGTCTTATGGACTCATGGAGTAGGTGGAGGTTCTCTGCTGACCTGGTCCAGCCTCAGTCTTAGGCCTTGTGGGCCCGGGGCTCAGGGGTGGGGCTTTCTCAACATTCCCGCCCTCATCCTGATGACAGCAAACCTCTGCATGGTGTCTGTGGTTGGTCCTGGTTGGGAGTTTCCTCCCCCGATTCCAGTGATAGCCGACCTCTGTTTTGTTTCGTTTGGGTATAGGATTCTGAACCCAAAGAGCTTCCTGACCTTCTCCCAGGGGTGGAAGGAGTTTGCCTCTACCCTTCCCCTTCCAGCAATGAAATTTTGCCTACCCTCTTTTAAGAATGAAAGGATTTCCTATCCTCTTTTGGATTTGGTATTACTGGGTTTTGTTCTTATTCTTCCCCTGGTAGAAA